CGAGTAAAGCATGCAACAATGTGGATGAGTCTCCAGAGAATTATGCTGAGTGGGAAAACAAAAACCAATCTCAAACGTTTACTGACTGTCTAGCTCTGCTTATATAACATTCTTGAAATGACAAAATGATAGAAAGATAGTATAGATTAGTGGTTGCCTAGGATTAGGGACTGGATGAGAGGTGAAAGGAAACAGTAAGTGTGGCCATAAAAGGACAACAGGAGAGACCCTTGTGATGATGGAACTGTTCAGTAACTTGATGGTAGTGGATAGACAAATCTATCCATGTGATAGAAACTGCATAGCATAACCCTGGCCAGTGTCGCTCAGTTGGTTGGAGCATCGTTCTGTATACCAGGAGGCTTCAGGTTCTATTCCCTGTCAGGGCATATACCTAGTTTGCGGATTTGATCCCCGGTCGGGGCACTTATGGAAGGCAACCGATTGATGTTTCCCTCTCACATGGATCTCTCTCTCTCTCTCTCTCTCTCTCTCTCTCTCTCTCTCTCTCTCCCTCCCCTCCCTCCCTTCCTTCCTCCTTCCCTCCCCCTTTCATTTTTCTAACCCTCCCCCCCCAAAAAAAACCCCAAAACACAGAAAAAACCTGCATAGCATAAACACACAAACATACCCATGAACATAAGTAAAACTGCTGAAATCTGAGTAAGACGAATGGATTGTATCTATGTCAATATCCAGACTATGATATTGTACTATAGTTTTCTATGATGTTACTGTTGAGGAAATTGTATAAAGATTACATGAGGTCCCTCTAGATTATTTTTTACAACTACATGTAAATCCATAATGATCTCAAAATAAGAAACTTAATTAAAAAAATACAAAATAAACAGTGCATATTTCATTCACCCTTGCTTCAGGAGCATCCACTGTGTGGAACTGTGTTGAGTCCATAGTAGGTGCTCAATAAATATTTATTTACTGAATGAATGAATGGAGAGCGGGTAAGTAGAGAAGAGAGTGAGAGCACATGTATAAAATGGTTCTCTCATTTGGATCACAAAAGGAAGATCCAGTCATCAGTCACTACTTAAAGCTTAACTAAACTATTTGGGTAATTAAGCCTAGAACAGGGGTGGGCAAACTTTTTGACTCGAGGGCCACAGTGGGTTCTTAAACTGGACCGGAGGGCCGGAACAAAAGCATGGATGGAGTGTTTGTGTGAACTAATATAAATTCAAAGTAAACATCATTACATAAAAGGGTACGGTCTTTTTTTTTTTTTTTAGTTTTATTCATTTCAAACGGGCCGGATCCTGCCCGCGGGCCGTAGTTTGCCCACGGCTGGCCTAGAATAATAACCTTTATCCTACAAATTCTACCTGATCATATGATCATTGTTGCAGTTCCAGTCTCAGCTTGAATCTCCCATGATGATGTTTGGTGTTATGCTCTCTCACCCTCCCACCCCTTCTCCAATCTTCAAATCCTAGAAGAAGGATAAACTAAAATGCATTTATAATAGTTTCAAATGTACAGAGTCTCCATAGATGCCTTGAGAGTCTTGATTATAGGTCATGTAGTATAAATACTCCAATTTTGTTCTTTTTCAAATTTGCTTACTGTTTAGGGTTCTTTTCATTTTAAATGAAGTTTAGAGAGAACTTGCCAATTTCTATACAAAAGTTTCCTAGGATTTGATTGGGGATCATCCCATCTATATATCAGTTTGGGGAGCATTGAGATTGTAATGATACTGAGCCTTCTGAACTGTGAACGTGCCATTTCCATTTATTCAGATATCCTTTATATCTCTCAGCAGTGTTTGAACTTGACATTTACAGGTCTTGCAGGTCTTTCGGCAGATGTATCCCTAAGTATTTAATATTTTAAATGGTATATACTTAAAGTATTTTAAATTTTCACGTATTGTTAGCAGTAGAAATGCTGTTGCTTTTGTATATCATGTTACTTTCATTCACGTTGCATTGACTAGAACTCAATCACAGCTGCCTCTACTGTAAGTTTGGGGAATGATATTATCTAGCTGTCTTCCCAAAAAGAAAAGAAAATGAAATTGATAATTAACTAACTAGTAACAGCCCAAATACCGACTATATGATGAAAATGTTCAGGATTTAGAAGTTGTTTGAATTTACTTTCATCACAGTGTAATATATTTTTTATCACACAAAAATTGCTTTCAAGAGCATTTTTAAGTTTTAGCACCTTCATATGATGCAAATCACTGTGGAGGAATATGATTCACTAGTGAAACATCTATACTAATAAAAGGGTAATGTGCTAATTAGGGCGGACGTCTTCTGGACATCCATTTGGACGTCCATCTGGACAAAGCCACAGCAGCTGTGAGTCCCAGGGCTCAGGCCTTGCAGCTACCGTGGCAGACAGTGGCAGCAGCAGCAGCGGGGTGATGGGGGCGGCACCTTCCCCTGATCATCCCAGTCGCCTTCTGCAGAGGGAAGCCAGACTGCGGCTTAGGCCCATGGGGAGTGGGCCTAAGCTGTCAGTAGGACATCCCCTGAGGGCTCCCGGACTGTGAGAGGGGGCAGGCCAAGCTGAGGGACCCCCCTCCAGTGCACAAATTTTTGTGCACCAGGCCTCTAGTAATAAATATAACAATCAAGCATGTACAAGTATTTGCCATTTGATAAAGGTGACATTTCAAAATTACTGAGATGAACTTGGGTTTGTAATTCAATAAAAATCTTAGCAGCAATACATACATACTAACTCTGAGATACCTATTAGATTGGAGAGATGTCTGAACTAAAGGTAAAAATTGAGGAGTCGTTTATAGATGGTATTTAGTGCATGAGACTGAAATCTCCAAAACACAAGCTGGAGACCTGAGTCCTAGGTACACCTAAGATGAGTTTAGCAGATGAAGACGTAGTGAAGGAGACAGAAGAAGGAACCCATGAGTTAGGAGGAAAATAAGTGTGGGAAGTCAGGTGGAGAAAATCTTTCAAGGAGGGAGTGATCCTTGTGCCAACATATAAATCAAAGATTAAAACTGAGAATTGACTATTCACTTTAGCTATGTGGAGGTGACCTTGACAGCAGTTTCAGGGAGTTATGGATGCAAAAGGCTGATTTAAGGGGATTCAAGAGAAAACAGGAGGAAAAGAATTGGAGATAGCCTCTGTAGACAGCTTTCAGGGATTTTTCCTCTAAAGAAAGGCAGACAAACATAACTGGGAGAGGGCTGTGTGGTCAAGAGAGGATTTGATTTTTTTTGTTTTAAGATGAAAGAACTTACAAAATGTGTACTGCACAGTCCATTAAGTTGTCATATTATAATTATATTATTACTAGAGGCCCGGTGCTTGAAATTCGTGCACAGGTAAGGTCTCTAGGCCTGGCCAGGGATTAGGGCGATCAGAGCCTTCAGGCTGCCAGCTTGGGGCCTTCCTTCCCCGGCTGCTGGCTGCTGGCAGGGGCCTTCCTTCTCTCGGCTGCCGGCTGGGGCCTGTCTTTATTCCGTGCCGACCCCTGGTGGTCAGCACATGTCATAGCGAGCGCTCAAACTCCCAGTCGGTTGAACTCCTGAGGGGACAATTTGCATATTAGCCTTTTATTATATAGGATTATCGTTATTTTTAATCCTCGCCTGAGGATATATTTTTTGTTTTGTTTTTTAATTCATTTTGAAAGAGAGAGAAAAAAAGAAACATCAATTGGTTGCCTCCCGTATGCACCCGGACCGGGGATCCAACCTGCAACCTGGGTATGTGCCCTGACCAGGAATGGAACCCGCAACTGAGCCACCCAGCCAGGGCAGGTTGTTGTCTTATTGCTTGTGTTTTTTTCAGTGTAATAGAAAGCAGGGGTGTCAGCTGCAAGTGAGAACAGGGAAGGGGGGATGAATTAATCATCGAAGATGAATGGACTGGAGAGAATTATCATTGACAGACAACAGTAAAGACTCTCTTGCCTTGGCTCAGTTGGTTGGGGCGTCAAATAAAAGGTTGGGGTTTGATTACCAATCTACCTAGGTTGTGGGTTTGATCCCCAGTTGGGGAGTGTACAGGAGGCAACCCATCAATCTCTCTCAATCTCTCTCTCTCTCTCTCTTTTCCTGCCTCCCTCCCTCCCCTCACACCCCTTTCTTCTCTGCCTAAAAGTCAATAGAAACATATCATTGGGTGAGGATTTAAAAAAAAAAAAGCTCTCTTGAGGTTAGTGGTTATGAACTAAGAGTGAAATAGCCTAGTTTTTGTTTTTCTCCGCTTGTGTTCAACTTCATAGGTGCCGGCCCAGAGTAGGCATTATTGATTTATCTAAGGTTAGGTGACTTTGAGCAAGTCAGAGAAAGGCAAAGGAGTGAATTGAAGCTGGTTTGAGAGCAAAGTGAGTACATGGGGTGGTAAGGGACAGGGAAATAGTGGCAGGGTCAGCTCAGAGTGAAGAATTGTGAGGATTGGGGTATGAGAGGGAATGAAGAATGGAACCTTGGTTTGAGGTTGTGAATGGTTTTCAGTCATAACCAGACAAAAGCCAAGAGTGGAAGAGAAGAGATCAAGGAATTGTAAGGCCAAGCTAGTTAAAGGACATCTGTGTGGATACTGACTTGATGCTCAGAACCTGAAGGCCGTATCTATTATTTTCTTTGTTGCTGTGGGATGATCTGATAACAGCTTTAGTATTCCTACTTGGTGTGAGGTTCATGTCTCTTCTTTCAGTTTATGTTCTTAGTCCTTAGTGCTCTAATGATTTTCTTGGTGTTCTCTTTCATTTCTTCTATTGAATTTAAATTTTAGCTCTCAAATTTCTAATTTCCAAGAGTTCTGTCTTACTTCTGATTAACTTTCATAGCATCCCTTTCTAAAATAAATTTGGTTTTTGATGATCTGCGTGACTTGTGCTAATACATATAGTTCATGCATCAGAATATGGTTCTTTTTCTCCATTAAGATCATATCTGCACTTAGGTATTATATTTTTGCATATAATTTTTTCTAAATGAGGAAGTATATTGTGTTAGTAATTAACATTTCAGTATCTTTCCATTGTAGGTGTCAAAAAATAAAGATGGAAAAGAACAAAGTGAAACTGTATCACCATCCGAAGATGAAGCGTTCTCCTGGCCAGGTCCCAAAACAGTTATGTTGAAAAGAACATCTCAAGGCTTTGGTTTTACATTAAGGCATTTTATTGTTTATCCCCCAGAGTCTGCAATTCAATTTTCATATAAGGTAAGAGATGTAGTTAAAGTCACTTGAAACAAAAGCAAAGCTATTCTTGTCTCCTTTTTATCTTCTCATCCCCTTTCCTACCTCTTTTCTATCTTAGAAGTGTTATATTTTCATTTTTACTATATTCTTTCAGATATTTTTCTATCTTCTAGAACAGAAATTTTAATCTCTGAAAGGTTATACTGATTATTAATTCCAAATCTATTTTGCTAGGACTTCTAATTCCAAATTATTGTACTTTTTCTAATAGCTGTTTTTCTACTCTCTAGAAAGGTGGTGAGTTTTATGGGCAGAGAATGCAGAGGCAATACTTTGTTAAAATGTTCTGGCAGTTACAAAAAGTTATTGGGATTAGAATAATACATGACTTTCAGATATGTAATATAATGGCAAATCAGAATCTGAAAACATAGCTTCTTACAGGGTGAATTACATTCCCATGCTTCAGTGTAGAGTAGTAGCATGGTCTCATAAAGGGCAGCATGGGATAATTATAACACAGCTGACACGCTGGGTACTTGCTGTGTGTTCTTTATTATTCGTTATGAGCATTATCTCACTTCGTTATTAGCCTACATAACATCTGGAAACTGATCTGAGTCACATTATGAGTAAGTCGTGGACCTAGGATTTTAACTTGCCAACATGAATGCCTGATTCTTACTTACTATATAACAGTGTAAGGAAATAAGAAATTTAGAAAAGTTGTGAGACCTAGGCCAAGCCAATTAACTTCTTTTGGCTTCTCGACTTCCATTTTAATTTGAGGGAATGGAATTAGAAGATTAGGAAACCATTTCTAATTCAAAATTTCTATGACTCTTAGGCTGTTTTTTAAAACATAGTGTGAATAGTTTTTAAGGGTTATGAATAAGTGCTATTTTTGGAATTAAAATTTACCAGTTTGGGGTTCCTGAAATGTCTATAGAACTCCTGACCTGGGTTTTCTAAGAATCTACTGTATCCTAAAGTGTCTAGCTTAGTATTCCTTATCTGTTAGGCCACATGTGAGAGCCTAACACACAAGGAATAGAGTCCCTTCCTTTAATTACATATTAAGGCTGAGTCTGTTTTGTCTTTTGATTTTGTTTTGAAGAAGAGCTTTTTGGTCATGATGAACATATAGTTGATATCATTTCATAAGATAACTTTACCAAACACAGGTTAAAAGTGAGTCATCATCATTATTATTTCTATTATTGGAAAATACTTCTAGAAGTTTTAGTAGCACAGTATAATTGTTAACAGCATAGTCATTGAAGTCAGAAGAGCCTGGGTTTGAGTCCCATCTCTGCCCCTGTACTCTGTGATCTTGGGGAAGTCACCTAACAGGCAGTAACAGCACCTTTCTCACAGGTTGTAGTGTTGCTTACATGATATAATGTATGTAAAACACTTAGTCCTGGAATTGGTATATAGTAATTGCTCAGTAAACTAATTTTTAATGCTATTATTTACACAGATGTTCTTGCAACTAGGTTTGTCTTGTAAAGTTTACATGGGAAATATGTATTGAAATCTTTTCCTTTTTAATTAAGAAATTTTATCCATTCACTTCAAAGGAGTTTTTTAAAAAATTCCTATTGTATAGCTTTTAGAAAATGTGTAATTAATACAACATTATCTTTATTATGTTACTTAGCTGACAAGCTTACCAGTCTCAGAACAGAGCTTATAACCAGAAAAAATATATATACAGGGTGGGGCAAAAGTAGGTTTGCAGTTGTCTATATGGAAAATAATAAAATAATTAATAAATAATAATACAAGAATAAACTCTGTGTAGTACATACTCACAACTGTAAACCTACTTTTACCTCACCCTGTACATTTGGACAGCCAAATAAAGGTCAAAAGATAAATTATCAGTCCACTTTTTTTGTTTCTACAGTAGATTGTAGCTTTCATATGATAGCGTTTCAACAAATATTTGAATAAATGTATTTTTATACTAGTTTTGCAAAGTTGCTTTTCTGATTTCCCAGCTAGAGGTGGATACATAGCAGCAGGACAGCCTGGTAGCAATGAATAAAACCAAATCTCAAAATTGAATAGAAGAAATAAAATATATAGCATTTTGGAGCCACCCAGTTTATACAAAGACAGATCTGGCCCCTGTAATAGCCCCTAAAGGCACATTTTATTAGAGTATATAGCACAGTAAGTGGTGGCCAGCCTTGCCCTCTCTCCCTAGTTCTAGGTTCATCTATCCAGCTGCCTACTTTTGACACCTGCACTGTGGGAATCTCCACACTCATTGTCAAAAACTGAACTCCCGATGTCTTCCCTCCAGATTGGCTTCACCCATAGTCGTCCTGTCTCTGTTTATGAAGGCTCCAACCTTCTGGCAAAAGGCACTGTTATAATGAGATTGTAATGAGCACATTTTGGGGAGGGTAGTTTAAATTGGATTAAGCCTTGCTGTGATTTCACTAGAGTTTATAAATATGGTTTCATATATGGATGTATATGTTTTATTTTGTAGGATGAAGAAAATGGCAACAGAGGAGGTATGCTATAAAAGTTTAAATTTTTCTCTGAATGTTTTTCTACTCATTTCTTTCTGTCTTTAAGTAGTATTATATAAGATGATACAGTTTTTGGAATCCAAATATATAACAATTCTTAGATGTGAGAGTCAGAAATTAAATACTTTTCCTGTAGATTTCAAAGTTTTATGAATGATTGTATCATCATAATTTAAACAAGTAATGATTTTATTGTTAATTATCTATATTATAAAAGGCCTGTGGCCCTAACGCAGTAACGACCAAAGACCGGCGCAGGTGGGCGGGGCTGTGAGCATGGCGAGGCCGCGCGGGTGGGCAGGGTTGCACGAATTCGCGCTCTGGGCTTCTAGTATATTAGTATTTGGGGGAGGAATATATCATATGATTCTGAGGAAAGTAATTCTGAGATTGTTATTCAATTAGTAATCTTTAACTTAGTGGTTCTTTTAGGTAAGAAATACTGCGTGTTTTATCTACTAGATTTATTGACTCAAATATTGAAGAGCAGAGTATTTTGTTGGATTTAAATATTATATTTAATGAGCCTTAAAGGAGAATCAGGCTGGGGATAGGATTATTTCTTAATAACTCTCATTTTCTTTTATTTTTATATGAACTTTAATGTGTTAAAATTTATACACAATAAAATGCTTCATTTTAAAAACTTTATTTTAGACTTTAAAAAATGTTGACAGAATAGTACAGAGAGTTTTCATAGATAACTTCCTCTAATGTTAAAAATTTATATAACCATGGTATAATTAACAAAACTAAGAAATTGGTATTGGTATGATAAATTACAGACTTTATTTGGATTTTTGCCAGTTTTCTACTAGTGTCATTTTCTGTTCCAGGATTTCTGTGTTGCATTCACTTGTCATGTCCTCTTAGACTCCCCTGAGCCTCATCTTTCTGATATGTTATGCCCTTGATACTTTTGCAGAGTACTGGTCAGGTATTTTGTAGGATGTTCTTCAACTTGGGTTGTCTGATGTTTTCTCATCATTACTTTGAAGTTATACATTTTTAGCAAGGATACATTTGCATCTATTTTAAGTGTATAGTATTTTGATAATGCATAACTTATGAAATCACCATTCCTATCAAGATGGTGATATCAAAAAGAACTTTTCCATGTTTCCATAAAGTTGCCTTGGGCCCCTTTGCTGTCAGCACTCTGCTGGCCCTAGACAATCCTTAATCTGCATTGTTACTGTAGATTAGTTTGCCCCTTCTAGAATTTTTTTTATGTATAGAATAATACAATTGGTACTCTGTGCCTTTTACTTGGCATAATATTGTTGAGATTCACTTCATTCTATGTATAGGTACAAATAATATTATCTTTTATTGCTGAGTAGTTTTCCCTTGTGTGGATATACCACAAATTGTTGATCCACTCACCAGTTGATGAACCTTTGTAATACTGATATCAGATTTAAAATCTAGGAATGATTATGTTAAGGGTAAAATGAGAGGAAATCGTTTCTTTCAGCACTATCAAAAGTAATCTGAGGAAAAAAAAAGTAATCTGACAGTGTAGGACCATGTGGGACTCTTCATAGTTGTCACTATTGTGCAAGATGGGCCACTCCTGTGTTACCATATGTCATGCACCAGGGCTCAAGATGAGTTCCAAATGTTACTTGGCATGGATTAGAAGCGGGCATTAGTGGGAAAAGGGGAAATTTACACAGCCAGCATCAGCAAGAGAAAAGGGACATGGGTTTTCTATCGTCCTGCAGGATAATGTACTGATGCCTGGACAACCGTCTGGACACATAGCATCTAGAATTTCATGTCTGCCATGTGCTGGTCTTCATTGGGAGAAATATCCTTCTAATAAATGTAAAAGGACATAGTTATAAAACTTCACACAGATGCTGACATATATCTGACAGAGCTCACTGAAGTGAATGAATTTAGTTGTATGGCTTGACTGGAGAGAATAGACATAAACATGTGCAATGGAACACTAAAAGATCCAGGTTCAACACAAGATTTGGAGAAATCTGATAAAATGAGGCTGAAGGGGGTTACCTGCTGGAGAGTATAAGAGTTTAATACCGATTTTATTTATTTATACTTAATTTCATTCTAAAGAGGGTTTGTGTTTACATGCAGAAATATATGTATTATAGTAAGATGAAAATAAGTTCATGGTAAAAAGAATGAATCAAACAGATATTCGGGAGATTAGTACATGTTAATGTGTGCTGTGGATTCTACACTGTTACCAAAGATGGGCTCTATATTTGCTTTTGAGCTTTTCCAGTGGCAAAGAAAAAGAAAATATGATTAGGTAAGGATTCACATTGTCCAGAAGAAAATAACATTCTGTTTGCACTGAGGTCTGAGATAGATTTCTCCTATGGGCCCTCATAATGGGAAACAGTGAGTAATACAGTAGATGTATCCTCAATACTATTCCTTCATATGGCTGTTTCTTGTTGTGTTTTTTTTTTTTTTTAAACAGATCCTTCAATGTAAGCTGATTTCAAAACCCCAAGGTCCAGTTCAGTTTAAAGGGCTTCTCAACTAGAGACAGTTTTGCTCCTGAGGGGATACTTGACAACACCTGTAGACATTTTTGGTTGTCACAATTGGGGGAAGGTGCTATGCTGTTGGCATCTAGCAGGCCAGGGATGGTGCATGTCCTATAATGCACAGGACAGCACCCCACAACAAAGAACTATTTGACCCAAAATGTGAATAGTGCTGCTGTTGAGAAGCCCCGGATTACAGTGATGGACACCAAAACTGTGTGGTCCAACCGTACAGGTCTCCAAGAGTCTGGCTTGATCCAATGACAATATTCAGACCATTTAGAAGAACAGATACTCAAGACCACATCTTCAGTGATCTTTTAAGTTGTATCCCTTACAACTCAATTTCGATCTGAATTGAGTTACTGATATAGTTTGGGGTTAAATTACCTGGCATTGCCAGTTGTTGGTGAAGGAATAATCATGAGTAAGGAAAAGGCTACATTTTAAGAAATATATAGAGTCAATATAATAATAGAAGATAATTGAAATGTAATAAAAAGTTAACATCAGGGATATAATTGATGAAGGAGAAAATAATTATAGGCTAGGTTAACAAAAAATTAAAATCAATAATTTAAAAGACTAGTAGAGGAATTAAAATAAACACAACAAAATTAAGGCTTTAAAATAAAAGAAATACAAATTTAAGCATCTTACCTCCTGGCAAAGCAAAGGCTCGTCAAAAGTAAGATCCTTGTAAAGTACAGAACATCGTGCATTTTCTTTCTAAGGAGAATGTTTGAAAAGGCATAAGAGTACCTAAACAAGTTGTTTTGGGGACTTAGCTATATTAGGCATCCTAATATATGTTATTACCCAACTTAGTCATCACAATAATGCTGTGAGATGTGAGACATTATTCCCATTTTGTAGATGAGGAAACTGAGGCTGAAAAAGATTTAAAGACACTTACTTGTCCAAGACCACACGGCTAAGTGACAGAGCTTTGTATGCCCAGATCAGGTGTGTCTAACTTTGAAGTCCATCTTCCTTTTACTCTGCTATCTTACTTTGTTGACTTATTTTTTTTTTTTAAATATACATTTTATTGATTTTTTTACAGAGAGGAAGGAAGAGGGATAGAGAATTAGAAACATCAAAGAGAGAGAAACCTCAATCAGCTGCCTCCTGCACACCCCCTACTGGGGATGTGCCCACAACCAAGGTATATGCCCTTGACCGGAATCGAACCCGGGACCCTTCAGTCCGCAGGCCGATGCTCTATCCACTGAGCCAAACCAGTTAGGGCTTGTTGACTTATTTTTAAGTCTCCTTCATTTACTTAATTTTGTTTCAAAAATGTCTTTAAACATAGTTTGACTTATGTAGGGTCAACAATTAGTAAGAAAATATAGGATATGTTTAGAATGTTATGAAATTAACACTCTGCTTTATGAAAGTTAAAAACAAGGAAACTTGATCCATATTTGTGAATACCTAAGGACGAAGAAGTCACATAACAGTCAGGGATATCCCAAGTTTAGAGGCCCTGAACATCTAGCAACAACCATCACTTGTTCCTCAATTCGGAATATCTGGCTAGCACTGGGCCTGGGAAGGAAGTTTAATGGGATTAGGAATCACTAGTGCTCTGTCTGTCTTTGTCCTCCACGACCAGGTTTGCTCTTGTTATATCAGTTGGCAGTTGGGGGGTCAGAGAGTAGTGCACAGAGGCCTACCTAGTTTAAGTATAGTGTTCATAATACCATTCCAACAAAACTGACTAATCACCAGGACACACTCTATATGAAAAAAAACTTCTGACTTCTGAACAGTTCTTAATAAATCAGTTTTTAGAATGCAATCTATTGAGAGACAGACTGCATATAATTTATTATGTTAATTGAACTGAATTTTGATTTTATAATCTCACTTCCTTTTAAAAGTATTTTCAAGCATATTCAGATTATGAAATCCTTTTATGTGAATTTTGTTTTAATTAAACACAATTCCAGCATCCAGTGTAATGATCTGAGTTAAAGCTAGAACCTCTGGAGAGAAAGTAATTGCCAGAATTTTATTCAAACTCCTAAGAGCTCCTGTTGTAATGCCAGAATTCTGAAACAGTTCAAAGTTTTGTTTTGGTGTTCTTTCCTTTTGGCAATAGAGTGGAATCTCTTTGGCATTTAATTTTCTGATTATTTTCCTTACCCAGTTTCCCATTCTATTATGTATTTTATATCCTATATAACTTTACTGTGTTTTTTTAAAATTTATTTTTCTTTTTTGTTGGTTAGTTTTTTGTACTGTAATGAAAATAACATTTACAAGAAAAAGGCCATTAAGGTAGAAAAATGTTTTTGGTGATGATAGTTGCTTTTGGATAATTGCTATTTGTTGACATCCTGTTGTCCTTAACTGTTTGGAACAGATATTCATAAATAATCAAGATAGAAATAATTGAAAGGTTGTAATTACTATTATTTATCTTCTTCCATGAGTAAAAGTTTT